TTGTTTTCTTCAGATATATATCCAGCTCTGGAATTGCAGGATCATATGGTAATTGTATTTTTAGTTTTTTGAGAAACCTCCATACTGTTTTCCATAGTGGCTGTACTAATTTACATTCCCACCAACAGTATACAAGTCTTCCTTCCCTCCACATCGTTGCCAATATTTGTTCTTTGTAGACTTTTTGATGATAGCCATATTGACAGATGTGAGGTGATATCTCATTGTGGTTTTGATTTGCATTTCTCTAATAATTTGCAGTATTGAGCATCTTTTCACGTGCCTGTAGATCTGCATATCTTCTTTAGAAAAATGTCTATTCACATCTTCTGCCCATTTTTTAAATCGGATTGCTTATTTTTTTGATATTGAGCTGTATGAGGTCTTTATATAACATTTTGGATATTAATGCCGTATCAGTAATATCATTTGCAAACTTTTTCCATTCAGTAGGTTGTCTTTCCGTTTTGTCAATGGTTTCCTTTGCTGTATTAAAGCTTTTAAGTTTAGTTAATTCCCATTTGTTTACTTCTGCTTTTATTTCCTTTGCTTTAGGAGACAAATCCAAAAAATATTGCAGTGATTTATGTCAAAGAGTATTCTGCCTTTGTTTTTCTCTAGTAGTTTTTTGGTATCCAGTCTTACATTTAAGTTAATCTATTTTGAGTTTATTTTTGTATACAGTGTTAGAGTATGTTCTAATTTCATTCTTTTACATGTAGCTCTCCAGTTTTCCCAGCACCACTCATTGAAGAGACTGTCTTTTCTCCACTGTATACTCTTGCCTCCTTTGTCATAGGTTAATTAACCATAAGTGCATGGGTTTCTTTCTGGGCCCTGTATTCTGTTCCATTGATCTATGTGTCTGTTTCTGTGCCGGTACCATACTGTTTTGATGACTGTAGCTTTGTAGTATAGTCTGAAGACAGGGCTCATGATTCCTCCTGCTCTCTTCTTCTTTCTCAAGATTGCTTTGGCAATTTAGGGTCTTTTGTAGTTCCATATAAATTTTAGGATTATTTGTTCTAGTTCTGTGGAAAATGCCTTGCGGGTTGTTTGACAGAGATTGCAATGAATCTATAGATTGCTTTGGGTAGTATGGACATTTTGACGATTTTAATTATTCTAATCCATGAGCACAGACTATCTTTCCTTTTTTTTTGTATTATATTCAGTTTCCTTCATCAGTGTTTTATAGTTTTCAGAGTGTAGGTCTTTTACCTCCTTGGTTAAGTTTATTCCTGGGTATTTTGTTATTTTGGGTTTTTTTGGTATTTTGTTTTTGATGTGATTTGAAATGAACAGTTTCTTGTCTTTTCTTTTAGTATTTTAAATATTTCAATTACTTACATTCCCCCATGTTTAAACTACCCTGAGAAATCCTCAGCGTGGCTGAATGAGAAATGTACGTACTTGAGATTTCCAAGCTTTAAGTCTGGCTCTGATAAAAATGGTTCTTTGGCTCTGTCTTGGTCTTTCCCCTTTCCTCCTATTCCTGCCTTTTTTTTCTGTTTCAGTTTCCATTTTAATGGATAAAATTGTCTCACTTCACCCTCAATTCTGATTAATATTATCCAATCTCTAAGTGTTAGAATCTACTTTGCTTTTCGTTGGTCCTAGGGCCAAAGAGTAGCAGCGCTAACTCTTGTATCTACTGAAATCCCTATTTTGAAAATTTCAAGATTTTTGTTGATTATATAGAGTATTTTTCTAAAGTACAGCTCTATAAATTATTGGCCTGTTTTTATTACAAACCTGTTACTTGAAAAAAAAATTTTTGTAACAGTTTTGTTTTGGTGATATGATGGTCTGGAACATGTGGCCTAGCAAAGGATATAAATCGAGAAAGAAAAATTATGGTTGGCATCGATTTTAAGTCTGTGCACTCTTAAGCACAAATCCTAAATTGTTTAAATATTAAATATTTACTTAAAGAAAAACAAGAAACCATTCAAAAATGGAATTAATTTAAATTGTGAATTTGCCTCAGTTAAAAGCTGATGGTTTTTTGTGTATTCTTTGTAAAATTAAGAAAATGGAAGTTCTACTGTCCACATCACAATTCTTTTGTGTTGCATTTTAAAGTAAAACACACATACAACATACACATTTGGAATGAGGCCAGATTTAGACTCTGGGGCATACTGTTCTGTACCTTAAATTACAATCAGATGTATTTTAGCACAGATCAAATTTTCAGTCTGAAGTTGGTGAGAAGCCTAATTATTTGACCAGGTTACTATTTATGTAAACCATTCTATGGCTGTCTGTGGTTAATCCACAGCTGGCAGAATGCTAGCTCTGGGAGGTTTTTATTTCATGCTGAAACAGTTTGGGGAGAAACAGGGGGAGGGGGGAGCTTTAAACTCTCCTCATTAAATGAAAGACTAAAAAGCAAGTACATACATATTACTATGGAGACAAGATGCTATAGAAACTGTTCATTTTAATTCTCCAAGTGACATAAATAGCAGAGCAGCTTGGATGCTCATAGTTTGCAAGTGACATGGTATTTGGTTTAAAAAGTAAGATGAAAACATTAAATGATGTTACCTAAGACTAAGACTTGTTTCCTTTTAGAACAGTTGAATATTGGTAAAGAATTAATGGCTTAGAATTTTTAAATGATGAGAAAATTTTATGTTACTGTGATAGGAAAACGTTTTTATTAGAATTTCATTAGCAGTACTTTAGTAAGAGACAATTATAGTATAAAATTCTCTTAATATTTCAGAATTTGTAAGCGCAAGAAACCCTTCAAAGGTGGATCCCAGTACACATGACTCCTGACAGAAAATTAATTTTTTAGTGTTCTTTTAATATTCATTTTGAAGTTTGAAAATAATAGAAAAAAAATCTTGTTTCTCTTTAAACTCTTTGAGTTTGCAAGATAGAAGTGGTTAGTCCCTCAGCTATAAGGGAATATTTCAATAGCTCTTTTGTAACTTTTAAAAGAAGTTTCCTTTACACTTTGATGGTTATTTCTAACATAAGGTAGCTCTTCTCCTTTTCTCGTTCCCATTTCCCTACTTCCTCTGGTTCCTTGCTCTAATTACCCTCCCTCTCTTGCTTTTTCATTCTTCTGTTTCTCCAGTAGATCCTTCATTGAAGAGCAGAAATGCTTAAACTTTCCCTGTTCTTAAAAACAACTCTCCTACTCCCCTTCTGCCACTAAAATTATCTTTTTGCTCTTTTCTTCTCTGTTATCTACTAAAACTAGGGTAATTATCTCTGGAGTCACTTGAATTCAAACTCCATCACACATAAGCTGTAGGATCTGGGAAACCTTTCTTAACTTTCCTATCTTGCCTTCTTTATTCATAAAAAGAGAATAATAACAGTATCCACCTCATAGGTTTATGTAAGGAAAAAATGATAACTAAGTTGATATACATTGAGCTTTTAGTATAGTGCCTGGATTGTAAGAATTGCTCAGTGAATTTTAGATGATTCTATTATTATTCACTGATAAAACTCCCCAAATAATTTATCTTTACCCTTACTTTCTCACCATTCCTTTTTAAACAACTGTCTGTTTTTACCTTCATACCTTAAGTACTTTCTCCTAACCATCAAATCCTGTGATTTTGGCTCAGTCCTTTCCTGTCTACCCATTGATAGCTTCGGTGCCTTTAAGTATCTTCTTAAAGTTTCCCTTGTTGGGTTTCTCTGTCATGGCTTCTGTTCTTCTTGTGTGCCTTCCTCTTGTACTCTACTTTTTTCCTTTCCTCTGTCCCCTGATTTTGGTTCTCCTCTATTCTGTCCTTTGCCCTCTTCTTTTTCTACCTTTTCTTTCTTGGTAATTACAACTCCTCTTTTACCATCACCTTCTTCCATGGCCTTTCTCCTGAGTCCAGCTTTCTGATATATTTGGAAGTCCCTTAACACCTCAAATGTAGTATGACCACAACTAAACACTCTCTTTGACGTCTAAGCCAGATCTTGTTCTGTATTTTTCTATTTTTTTTTCTTTGTTTTTTTGTTTTTTGGCCGTGCCACGCAGCATGTGGCATCTTAGTTCCCGGACCAGGGATCAAACCTGTGCCCCCTGCATTGGAAGCGCAGAGTCCTAACCACTGGACCACCAGGGAATTCCTGGATTTTTCTATTTCTATTAATAGTAGAACCAGATTTTAAACCTTAGTAATCTTTTGACTCTTTTTTCTTTGTCTCCCACATCTTAAACAATTGCTAAGTCCAGTATGTAATACTCCCAGTATGATTTCCTTTTACAAAGCCAAAAGCAGGCTTTTATTGACTGTTGCTGTCCAGAGTAACCTTCCCTTGAATTCTCCTATTAAGCTTGTTATTCCCTTCTTTCAAGGAAAACTTCATTACCCTTCATCCCCACTCCACCTAATAGACTCCTGAACTGCCACTCAAGGCCCTTCGTGTTCTTAACTAAGCTGGGCTTTCAAACTTTTATCTTCTTTTGCGCTTTGTGTACTCCTTCATTTCCTTGCACATCATCCAAACCAGATTTCCATATAAGCATCCATGTCTTTGCTTATACTTTCTTGCATCTAGAAAGCGTAAATATATATTTTAAAAGACTTACTAATGTTTAAGATAAATAGTATTTTTAAATATAGCTTTCCTGACAATAAGAATCCAAACTGTTTGTAAGAAGCTGTAAGGATCTAATCTGCCTTCATTACTATTTGTCTGATTTAAAAGTAATTATTGTCCTGAATGAGACCTTTCAAATATTTTTTCTTATGTAGATTCCTAGAATTCTTTCAGTATTGAATATACAAATCTAATATGAAATAAATAATGTCTTATTCTCTAATGTAATGGCATATATCAAGCATATAGTACTCATGTGATAAACTTTTCTCCTAATCAAATTATTTTTTCTGCCTTGCATTTTATAATTGTATTTTTAAGGTTTACATTATATAGGCTTTTGTATTTTGTATAGGTTTCTTTTATTCTCACTGAGAGTGACTCTGTGGAGATAGCATTTCTAATTTCCCTTCCTTTTTTTCTTTATCCAGGGTTTTTTTCTCACAGTTTCCCCAGAGTCAGTTTTAAAAGTGGCTCACCATGCTTCTGAAAACAACAGAATTTTCACTTTGAATCTGTCTGCACCATTTATTAGTCAGTTCTACAAGGAATCATTGATGAAAGTTATGCCTTATGTTGACATACTCTTTGGAAATGAGACGGTGAGTAATTTTTTTTTTGAAGTACCTGGTTGTTTTGGTTTCTCTTTGTGTATATGTTTAGAAATATATAAATAAAAACTGTGTACTTGAGAATTAAGTAAAACTGCCTCAGTTTGGACCACTCTAACTCAGTATTTTTAGTATTTCCTTCAGAATATACTAATTTCTTACACAGTAAAAAATTAATCTTTTAAAGGATTAGGTTATTCAGGTTTATAATTTACATGTAGTAAAATTCACTCTTCTTATACATTTCTGTGAGCTTTTGCAAATGCATACCTGTCATATGACTGTGACCACAAGCAGGATAAAAAACATTTTCATCACATTTATCAGTCAACCCTTGCCCTCATCCTTAGCCCTTAACATCAACCTCAAATAACCTTAATTAAAAAGAAAATGAGGAGGAGCCTTAACAAAAATAAAAAGCATTGGAGAGCACACAGAAAACTCTTTAATAAGAGCTCACATTTGTAAAACATATGTAAAAAAGATGGAAAGCATTTATAGAACCAGGGAACAATGCTAAAAGTTTGGCAGAGACATTGAAGAATAGAAAAGAATAGAGGCCCAAGAATAATTAGGTTTGCAGAAAATGCTGATGATATCAAAATGGTCTTCATTGTTTAAAAAAACTCCAAAAGTACAGTCAACAGAAAAAGTAATTGGACTTCATCAAAATTAAAAACTTTTGTGCATCAAAGGACACTATCAGGAAAGTGAAAAGACAACCCATGGATGGTAGAAAATATTTGCAAATAATATATCAGTTCAGGGATTAGTATCCAGAATATATATCTTAACAACTCAAATACATCTCAACAAGAAGAAAACAACCTAATCTAAAAATGGTCAAAGAACTTAAATAAATATTTCTTCAAAGAAGATATATCAATACAAAGGGCCAATAAGCATGTGAAAAGATGCTCACCATCAGTAATCATTAGAGAAATGCTTATGAAACCAAAGTAAGATATTACTTGACACCCTGTAGGATGGCTGTTTTCAAAATTAAAAAATGATAAATAACAAGTACTGGAAAGGATGTGGAGAAATGGGAACTCTTGTGCATAGCTGCTGGGAATGTAAAATGGTGCAGCTGCTGTGGAAAACAATTTGGTGGTTGTTCATAAAGTTAAAAAGAGAATTATTACCATATGATCCAGCAATTCCACTTCTAGGTATAACCAAAAAACCTTCAAAGCAGGGATTCAAATGCTTTTACACCAATGTTTAGCAGCATTATTCACAATAGCCACAAGTTGGAAACAAACCAAATGTTCTTCAACAGATGAATAGATAAATAAAATCTGGTATATACATACAATGGAATATTATTCAGCCTTTAAAAGGAATGAATTCTGTTACATGGTACAATATGAATGAATCTTGAAAACATTATGTTAAGTGAAATAAGGCAGATACAAGCAGACACCTATTGGGTTTTCCTGTAAGGATTCCTCTGAAATGAAGTATCTGGAATAGAAAAACTCATAAAGAAGGACAGCAGAATAGTGGTTACTAGGCACTGGGGGAAAAGGGGAGTTGGGAGTTATTTAATGAGTACAAAGCTTCTATTTGGGATGAAAAAAAGTTCTGGAAATGGATAGTGGTGATGATTGCACAACATTGTGAATATATTTAATGTCAGTGAATTTAACACTTAAAATTGTTAAAGTGGTAAAATTTTACTTTATGTATATTTTACCACAATTTAAAAAATTGATTGATTCTACAAATTGGTAAAGTTTGACTAGAACTTAGTACTGTATAGATTATTAAAGAAATTATTTTTCCCTACCTAGAAGAGGAAGTAGTAAAATTACAAGCTACTACCTGGTTACAAGTCATGTCAGGATAACTTTTTACTTTTTTTGTATGATTGCTAGTCATATGAATTCAACAGATATGTAGTACCTATTATGGCAGACCAATAAACAGTAGATGTATAGTATATTTGAGATGATTTGTCATAATATGGATTATAGAATAATAAATATTGGATACAGGGCAATTAGATATATTTGATAGTTTACTGAACCAGTCTCAAAAAGTCCTCCGATAAATTAATAGATTTCTAGTGATATGCTTCAGTGTTTGCTCAAGTAAACTATCAGTGATTCAGATAAAGCTGTATTTGTAGATAAGGCAAACGCACAGAATGTAAATAATGCAACACATTAATAGATACCAAGTAAATTGAATGTCAAAATGAGACTTTAAACAATTTTAATAGTTTGGAAATACCAATTAAGTGATGAAATTTAATGAGGATAAATAAAATGATACCATATTTGATTATAAAAAAGCAAATATGTTATTATGAGCTTTATCTCTTTAATCTCATATTTCATTGTTCCCCTTGAATACTCAAGTAATAATAAACTATCTTCGGTTCTCTAGGAAAACAAGGGACATTTCATTTCTAAATTGCAATGAAGTGTGAAATATATTTCCCAGGGAATACATACAGGATTGCTTTGTCCTTCTCCCCCTCTTTCTCCCTCAAAAGAAAAAAACAAAAAAAAAAAAAGAAAAAAACAAATCTACTGTGCTTAATATAAATTCTCAAAATGTCAGCACTTAGCTAAAACCAAACACACTTGACTCTTATTTTCTGCCTAGTGCCACTTTCCTTTTCATAGGATTGTGTACTACTAATGATGTTTTAAAGCTTTTCTGATAACCTCAGAAAGTATATTTTAAAAAAAGAAGAAGAACTTGTCCACCAAGGCTATCTCTTCACAGATAATGAAGGACAGTGATCCTTGTAAGACAAGAAATAAATGAGATGAGCCCTATGATTAACCCAACTTACCACTTGAAGAGAATTTCTAGGCCATTGCACAGAGGAGAACCCACGTAGAGCTTGGCAGTCTCTTTGAATTGAAGAGATGGAGCTGGAAGTTCAGGAAATCTAACAGCTAGCCAGCTGGAGTTTGCAATTCATAGTACCCAAAAGGAAAGAGCTGCATAGAGAGAGAACACAGGAGATTTGCAGAGTCCCACCCAAGTCTTTCAGCTGAGTACTGATCAGCTGTGAGGAAACTAATGAAGGCTGGGAAAAGAACCACCTGAGAAGATACTAGCAAATAATCTTCAGAGTGCACAGAGAGCCTGTAACCATTCTTATTCTACTAGCTAGAGTAGAGAACCTCATAATTCATGAGCTTCAGAGTACTTAGAGCACCACTGGGGCAGAATTAGTCTAGAGTGAGGCTCCTTTTGTCCCTCCTAACAATATTATCCCAATATGCATACAGTGCCTTGTATTGGATTAAAGGAATTCCCTTCTTTTCTTAGTAATCTGAGGGCTTTTTATCTGGAATGGATGTTGGATTTTGACATTTTCCCCCCGTGATTTTAGCAAATTCAATCCAGTAATAGGATAATTCATCATGACCAGGACTGTAGGGTTGGTTTACCAATCAATATAATTCACCTTTGTAAAAATAAAAAATATCACCATCTTAATAGACACAGAAAAAAACCTATGTCAGAATCCAACATCCATTCCTGATAAAAAGCCCTCGGAGTACTAAGAATAGAATGGAACTTCTTCAACCCAATACAGGACATCCACAAAAAATGTACAGCTGATATCATACTTAATGATTAAAAACTGAATACTTTCCTCTAAGATCAGGGACAAAGCAAGGATGTTCACTCTTTCCACTTCTATTCAGCATTGTACTGGAGGTTCTAGTCAGTGCTAATAAGCTATGAAAATCATCGAGATTAGAAAGGAAGAAGAAAAACTGTCTCTGTTACTAAACACCATGATCATCTTTGTAGAAAAATCTTTTGAAATCTACAAAGAGCTATTACAAATAAAAATGAGTTTAGCAAAGTTGTGGGATACAAGATAAACACACAAAAACCAGTTGCATTTCTATATAGTAGCAGCAAACACGCAGAAATTGAAATTTAAAATTACTATTTCCATTACTATGAAAAGATATAACATACTTTGGGATAAATCTAATAAAAGATATACAAAACCTGTATACTGAACACTGTAAAACATTGTTGAGAATAATTAAAGAACTAAGTAAATGGAGAGAGAGGGCATGTGCATGGATTTTAACTCTATTGTGAAGATGTCAGGTCTCAAATTGGTCTTTGGATTCAACATAATTTAATTTAAAATTCCAACAGGTTTTTTGTTTGTTCATTTTCTAGAAGTCAACAAGCATATTCTAAAATTAATATGGAAGAACACTGGACTAAAATAGTCAAACCAACTTTGAAAAAAAAAATCAGAGGACCTACACTACATGGTGTCAGGACTTATAAAGCTACAGTAGTCAATACAGTGTGGCAGTGCCCTAAAGATAGGCAAATAGATCCATGGAACAGAGGAGATAGTACAGAAATAGACCAACTGTTGATTCTTTAAAAAAATTTCAGTAGCAATTCTGTAAATAATAGTCTTTTTAACAAATTATGCTATAGCAATTGAATATCCATATCCAAAAAAGCAAAACTTCAGCCCATACAACATGCAACAACTATTTAGGTGTCCAACATTAAAAAGTATGACCATACGAGATATTTGCACGAGCTGCTAGAACTGTCATACACTGCTGGTGAGAATGCAAAATGGTACAACTACTTTGAAAAATAGTTTTCCAGTTTCTTACAAAGTTATATATAACCCACCATATGACCTAGTTGTCCCCCCGCAAGAGAAATGAAAGTATGTGTACATATAAACACATACACAAATACTTGTAGGAACTCTTATTTGTAATATCCAAAGTCTAGAAGCAACTCAGTGTCCACCAACTGGTGACGGGATAAGCAAACTGTGGTATATCTATATGCTAGAATACTAGTCCATAAAAGAAATGAAGTATTTATACATGCACCAACATGGATGAATGTCAGAAGATTTATACTGAGTGAAAGATGAGCTGCCAGACAAAAAGTACATTCTGTGTAACTCCATTTAAATTAAATTCTAGAGAATTCAAACTGTAGTGACAGAAAGCAGATTC